CGATAGAATTCTCACTTACCAAAAATTACACACCACAACATAATCCGAGAAAAACGACAACGGCTAATGAATTATGATATCAACAACAAATAATCATCCCATAAAACAATCAAAACTTGAAGAATACAAAATAGAGCAAGTGTTCCGTTTTCAAAATTAGAGAGCTCAAGGAAGAATCGACGAAATACTGAAAACATCACTACTCCACCGCTGGTTGACAGAAATTTTTGACAATCAAAAGTCAAAGAAACGAAATCACAGGGTGCGTTCCAGATATCTCAAAGGACATCGAACCAATGCGCAACTAAACGGGGTACGCTAGAATTTGCGCCGAGATCAATATCGCTCCATAACCGAACAGTCAGTACGAACGGTACACCCACTTGAACACGGGTCATCATGATTACGGAACACAACCCACGAAATATTTTTGACACATGAATTATTTTTGTTATGAAACAGATGATCGAATTTAAAATCAAAATCAAAATATTGCCTTGTTTTGCTTTAGAATTGAATTAAAATATGGATTAAAATGAGGAAAAAACCATTACAGCAAATAGAATTTGACTATGGAAAATTAGAAAATTTACAGGATCTACAACCGTTGAGATTATTGATGAAATTTTATAGAGAAAATGCTGACAAATTTAAGGAAATCTTGAATATAAAATTGAAAGTAGGTAAGAATCATTTATGCAATTTTGGCCTGTTACAAGGTGGAAATTTTTGGAAATATCCCGGGGAAAATTTCCAGAATTGTCATTTTTGGCATTGAGACCCGCTTTTCCATTTAAAACGCATTGATGCCAGAAATCTGTCAAAGTGTATATCTTTTTGACAAACGCAATTTAAATAGAAAAGATCAATCACAATGACCATCAATAAAAAAATTCGACACGACGTAATAAATAAACTTCAAACTCGGGAAATTTCCAGTAGAAATATAACTAGTGCATAAAATATTTCCGGAAATTTTTGAAAATTTTGTCTGAAGCCAATTTTTTAACAAAATCATGAATGCATAGCGCCTGAAAAAATCCCGAACCCGAAGGGTGAGGGATTTTTTTTTTGGCGCTATGCACGAATGGTTTTGTTTAAAAAAATTGACTAAAAACGAAATTTTCAAAAATTTCCTTTAGGAAATATTTTATGCACGTGTTATATTTTGATAGGAAATTTCCCGAGTTTAAAGTTTATTTACTATAAGTTGTTTCGAATATTTTAAATATGATGATATTATGTTCTGTGATGTTGATTTTTATTGATCTTCCCTATTTAAATTGCGTTTGTCAAAAAATATACACTTTGACAGATTTCTGATATCAATGCGTTTTAAATGGAAAAGCTGGTCTCAATGCCAAAAATGACAACTTAAAGGTGGGTTTCCGATGGACGCCGCGCGGCATTGTCGCATTGGAAATTGCACCCGGAAATATCCCGCTCACCAGGGATATTTCCACTTATCAATTTTTGAAAATTACGAGGTATATTTCCAGTTAAATATGCACAAGGGAAATTTCCTATCAAAATATAACTCGTTCATCAAATATTTCCTAAGGGAAATTTTAAAAAATTTCATCTTCAGCCTATTTTTTTGAACAAAATGATTCGTGCATAGCGCCAAAGAAAAAATCCCTCACCCTTCGGGTTCGGGATTTTTTCAAGCGCCATGCACTCATGATTTTGTTAAAAAATTGGCTTCAAACAAAATTTTCAAAAATTTCCGGAAATATTTTATGCACTAGTTATATTACAACTGTAAATTTTCAGTTGTTTCAAAAATGTCATGTTTTGACACATTTCGCAATTCCGGATCGAAGGGCGAACAAAAAATTCGAATCCGGCAGGTCATTTTACATAGGATTTCATGTTTTTTAGGTGGATGTTCGCGACTTGTATAGAGGTGGTAGAATTCAGCACCTCAGATTCCTGACTATAGGTGTATGAAATAATTTTCCTAGAGTATTTTTTGTTGTTGAATGTTCTGTTTTAATTGGCAATTACTCCAAAGATTATCTTGTTTTATATCAAATTCCAATAAAACAAAGGATAAACAATCAACCTAAGGCGTTAATCTGTCCTAATCTGTAATTTTTGAAATTAAAATTAAAAATGTCAAGTTAAATGCAGAAATAATCGAGGAGTCCCTTATAGATTTAGCCCTTATTTCGTAAAGAATATATATTTTTTTTTTATATTCGAATTTCCGAGCAACTGCGGGTGACTAAGCAGTTAAGGAATGTGTGTTTTTTTTATCTCTCTTGTTCGGCTGCTACCCGTATTTGGGTGGTTTTCAAGAAGAGCCACTTCGAATTTTTCTGTCGTTATACGTTTTGTCGGTTAGCTATCTGAATAATATCAGAACCAATTTTCTTATTTAAGATAAAATGTATAAAAAAAACCTTTGTTTTTTAGTTGCTAATAATTTATTTCTATTTAATCATTAAACGAGGATAAAACATTTTTCTTGTTTTAATGAACCCGCAATTTTAAATGGTTAATTTAAGATCTAACAACAATCGGGACAGTGGAAAGGTCCACGAGACCCCGAACAGTAAACTTTTTCGCACGCTCGTAGAAAAAATGTCTTTATCTACAAGCGTTTGGTTATGACGTTTTTAAGTAACTATTTTTCCAGTATTTGAGTTATGTCATGAGGCTCATAACACAACTAGTTGTGTTATGGACTAGGTTATGAATTCATAACACAACTATTTTTGGTTATTTGACAAATGTCAAAGGTACACCTGTAAAGGTAAAATGAAGGTATACAACACAACGCACAGTGATAGAAATTGCAAATCTAGAATTCCAAAAGTCTTAGCTTTATTAATAAATATCTATTTCTGATAAAAAATAATTTCAGTTGATCTTCTTAAGTTCAAGATATAATAATAGGCATATATTATACATTGGCGCACATAATCTTTAAATAGTGGTGGGGGTAGTACCTAATAATCATATCCGCATAAAATTGGCTTACAGGTTATAGGGCTTGTTTACTTTAAACAGGATTCTTAACAATAGGGAGGTTCTACCTAAAAATTTATCAATAGAAGCGACAAGATGCGCAAAAAAAATTATATATATCTTAAAAGACGAACTATTGTAGACCACTATGGGCCGATTGGGTCCGAGTCTTAATGGGTCCCACAAAAGTTCTGCTCCAATTCTTAGAAATATCATATTTTTTATCTTGATTTATTACAATGTTTTTTCTACATGAACTATAAGTTAACTTTTACTTTCACAGCAACCAAAATAGTTTAAAAGTAAAGTACTAACCTCCATAGATTCCCATTTTAAATAATTTTGTTATAGCGCTTATAAACTCTTGATACTAACTGTTCAAATTCCACGCAAATAAAATAAAATATCGTCTTCATGCATTAAATAATAAAACAACATATTTAGAACGCCAGCAAAAAATTGTTTATCGTGATAAGGATTTAGATTTTAACTTTTTTTGTTCAGCACACATTTCTAAAGACGTGAGGATAATTTTTCCGCCAATTTGTCGCTACCAAAATGTGGACTTCTGGAATCCTGGATTGGCGATATCCATCACTGTTCCATCACTGTGCAACGACTAATAAACGAAAATGATTGAAAAAAATTATTATTTTTCGCTTTGTAGATAAAAAGTTGTACATCACATGTGCGTATAAACATGACTACAAAACTCGTGTGATTAGAACGACTCGGTCTACGACCTCGTATTTCTGATTTTTCACACTCGTTATTGTAATCAGGTTCATGAACGCACTTTTAATGTAAATAACTATTACCGCATTCTTTTATTAATACGTTTGTAATTATTCATATTCTTTATTGTACCGTTCCTAGGATTTTTGTGGAATCAAAGAGCCAGCTGCTGCATTCGCTGCTTCAAATATTTATTCATCGAGGGCATCCATCTCTCAAGAATTTATTTTATACCAAAAAATGGAAAATTTGAATCACAAAACACGAATCTTTTCTCTCTTTTCATATCTTTTCGAAATTTCTCCAACGTTTTTTTTTCTCTTTAAGAAATCTATATACGCTTTTTGTACTAACCAATATCGACATCTATAATGAGTTTTATAGATGTACATACCATAAATATTTGATTCTACTTATAATAAAAATAATGGTTAATGATTTGTTGTTAAACTTATTGCGTTATTAGACAATTAAAAAAAATCACAATTTTGACCATTTCTTTTATATACATACAGACAGTAGCCAAAAACAATATCAATTTCCGCTCGCTCGTAGGAAAAATGTACACAACACGAGCGTAAAGTATCTTTTTCGCACTTACGGCTTGCACGAACTCCGTCGGGTCAAATGGCTAAACGATGCATACATAAATTACTTATCATCTTATAATTTGATGATTCGCGTCGTTATTTAACCACTTGTTTTTATACGTGTAAACGGGGCCACCTCGGGGACGGCTCGGATTAGTTTTTGAGGCAATTTACAGGGTTGCCAAAGTGCCAGTAATTACTGGCATTTGCCAGTTAAGTCTTGTTGGCGGTAATTTGCCCAATGAAATGCATCTACTTTCTCCTCCCCACGAAACAACGTCTATGCTCGATAGGGTTCCTAAATAATAAAGTTCATAAAAACAGAAAAATCCTTTTTTTTTTTGAGTTGTTTGTAAGTTTGTTAATATGTTTTTGTAAATAATAATCAATATTTTGTGGATAACGCGTTTTAACCCTGTCTGCTTGTAGAATATACATGGTGTTTATCCATGGTTGATCTACTTTTTTCTTTCAGGTACATTTACGAAAATGCCGGCAAATATTGGATTTGACATTCAAAAATTGGCGCAGCGGTTGAAAGAAATTAGGCCCTCCGAAAATTATAATTTATTTACTAATCTTTCTCTACATGATCCGATTATTGAAGATTGCGCGAATTTTCTGTTTGGCGTTTCGTCTAAGAACAAAAAAAATAACAAGTTAAAAGTTTATAGAAATTTAAAAAGAAATAATTCTTTGAAGTCTCTTTTAGAAGACGACAATAATACTTCAGAAAATTCTTTTGAAAAACTAATTAAATCTGCTGACATTTATTTCGAGGTATCTCCTGTAAAAATTCAAAAAAGCCCAGCTCATGATCTCGAAAATGAAATCGAAATCTCATTTGAAGATAATGCCTCGGCCCCTGATCAAAATAATTCTGACGAGGTTAAGTCTGCGTTTGCACAAACGTCTACGGAAATTGACGCTAATATAGATTTTAATGATCTAAGTGATTTGGTAGATTTAACTGATTTCTTCGGGCAAAATAAAGTTAACGAAATCACGGCAATACAGGCGGTAAACGATTGCGTCAAAAGAGTTTTTTGAAACAAATCCCCAAAGCAATAGTTGTCGCTTACCACCGGGATGAATTAATGATTTAAGTTTAACTAGAAATACAATTAGTTTTGGTAGTTGTAAAACTAAAGAAGGTACTTTTTCGTTGAGCATTGACGAATTTAATAGTATCTGTTTAGGCAATAAATTAGTCGATTACTACATAATGATCAGAAGGAAGAGAGAATTTGTAAATAATACGTGCGTGTTAAATTATAAAAAATCTTCCTTCAATAAAATCTTGGATAATTACATAATATATGCTTATTGCGCACATGCAAATTGTAAAACTTTTCAAATTAAATTAAAGAAACGAAAAAATGAAGTAAAAGGGTACGTTTTCAGTTCCTCTCTGAATTATTGTCACACAGAAGGGGAAAAGTTGACAACGTACGTTCGTAAAACGGAAAGGCAAATTGTAGGGGATTTGTTAAAAACTTCCACGCCGTATAAGCATCGTGCGAAAGTAATTAGGAATCGCAGCATGTTTTTAGAAAGATTAAATCGGAGAAAATTTCTGAGCTAGATCGCCATAAAGATGAAATTTACGATTTGATACTTATGAGTAGGGACAATGCGTATATTTTAAGGGTGTTTAAGCCATTAGCGGTTTATCTTTTCAGTCGCGAACAGTTGGAAGTTATCGGAAAGTTGAAAGCTTCAAACGGCGTAACATTGCATCTAGATGCAACGAGACAACTGGTTCGAGAACCATCTAATTGTGCACCGTGCAAAAGAATATTGTATTATGCCGGGGTAGTTTGGGTAAAAGAAAAACAAATTATTTTTCCTATTTTAGAATTAATTAGCGCTAGCCACAACGCGTTCGCGATCACCGATTGGCTAACAGCTTTTAAATCATTTCGCTCTACCGAAAAAATGAAGCGGCCCGTGTTTACCACAGCAGTAACTGATTTCAGTTTTGCGATTATAAACGCCATTAATATCGCGTGGAATTTAATGGAAGATTTAATCGGTATCTTAACGTACTATTTAATTATATTGCCAAACGCGATGCAAAGAAGCCGGTAGTATTGATAAAAATTTGCGTTTGCCACTTCGTTAAAATTATCGCGAATGATGTAAATAAGATTTGCGGTAACGATCGGCAAAAAATTTTTTTTTATAAAAACATGATAATGAAAGTTTTCATGATGAAAGATCTTCAATCGGTCGATAATTGGTTTACGCGACTAATAAAAATTTGCACCTCCCCCACGCTGACGTCGGACGTGGAAACTTATATTAAAGAATTAGGAAATATAACGGAAGTGCAAGGGGAAGAGGCATTCACTTTAATAGACAATACGTCGGATGATCGCGACATGGCGGAAAAAATGAAAACCTTGTACGAAAAATCGTATTTTTATCAGCATTTTAAGATAATCCTTGATGCTGAAGGAGGTAGTGGAGGTGTCGAGATAGCGACCGAAGATAGAAATCCTTTCTATCAACCGGAAATAGGAAATACCGTTTTAAAAAAATATTTGACATATTTACCTATGTGGTCAAATATAATTACCGATGATTCGTGCGAACGTTACAGTAATGCCCCCGTCGAAGGGCACTTTAAACAAGTCCAACATAGCGTTATTTCCGGGAAACGAATGCGTTGTAGTAGATTCGTGCGGACAATTAGGGAACATGTCCTTAGCATATATAAGGAAATTAGCTTTGACATAAGAAAAGATCGGTGCCCGGCGAAGAAACTGATTGTCAAAGCTTCGAACGTAGACGAATGTGTCATGAACGCGGAAGAACAATGGAACAAAAAGAGAGAGACGGCCGGCTCTCTATTTTGGCGATTCGGAAAAGCTTTTCAAAAAGGCTCAAACGGAACAAGAACCTGTCAAGGGGGCAGTAGCAAAAACGGTCTCCATCTCCATAGCGGATCCACTGCTTTTGTCTTTAACGGCAACGCCCAAGGTAGAAACTCGGGAAAATGGAACGGTTCGCGATTTAAGTTATTATGACTTCAATGAAATTGGAAATATAGTAGTGGCGAAATATAAAGAAGCCCCATTTCCAGGTTTAGAACTTCGCGACTTTCATGCTCTAAATAACGATATTTGGTCAACTAACTTCGTCGTCGACACGATAATGCATTGCCTAACTAAAAATTAAAATCAAATTAATTTTGTTTCTACCTGGGATAGCTTAGACATTTTTAATAGAAAGAAACCTACAAAGTCAGTCGTATTTAAACGTAATGGAATAAATATTTACTTATATCTACAGAATAATAACCACTGGTGTTTAGTAATCGCGGATAGTGCCAAAAAGACATTTTCTTTTTTTAATCCCTTCGGGAGTTCGGAAACTTTTTCAATCCCTTCGGGAGTTCGGAAACGAAAACGAAGAGATATTTTGAATTATTTAGGGGCGTATACAAATTAAGCGATTGACAAACGGTGGTTTACGAATATCCAGTGCAGCGGGATTCAAACAATTGTGGCATTTATTGCCTAACATTTGCGGGAAACATAATTAATAATAATTATAATTTTTTCTGCAGTTCCGAACCGGAGGATAAGCGTGTTTTATTAAAAGAATTCCTTTTAAAAGAATCCGATGATTTATCAGATCTACGTATTATTAATTGGATTCAATGCGAGGCGTGTAATCGATGGTGTATGGAGACTTGTTTAAGCGGACCGTGTCAAATCTCCAATATACACAAAGCAAACTTAAAGTTCTACTGCCCCCTTTGCAGAAATTATTTAAAAATATAAAATATGCGTAGAGATTGTGAGTATCGTGCGGGATTGGGTTTTTTTGCATCCGAACCAATTAATTTCTTTAAAATTTGCGCACCACTTGTTTTTTTTTTTAATTTTCTTTTTCCAAATTTGCGCCCGAACTATTTTTTTTTCCAAATTTTCTTTTTCCAAACTTACGCCCAAACCTAATTTCTTCCAAATATATGCCCAAATTATTTTTTTTTCTAAATTTTTTTTTTCCAAATTTACGCCCGTTCTAAATTTCTTCCAAATTTGAACCCAATTAAAAACATTGATTAAGTTCTTTTCTTTATAAAGAGCGAATGTTTTTTTGGATGGGATTGGAAAGGGTGAAGGGGAGGAAGGAGTCCTTTTTGCGACCGATTTTCATATTGCGCTCGAAATTATTTTGATCAGGGAGGCCATTTCTGCATTTTTTTTTTTTTTTTAATTCCGAAATTATCTTCCTAAATTTGCGCTCGTTATACGTTCCTAACTAAATTACTTTCAAATTTATTTTTGGGTGGGATTGGAAAGGGTGAAGGGGAGGAAGGAGCCTTTTTTGCGTCCGATTTTCATATTGCGCTCGAAATTATTTTGATTAAAAATTACATTCTTGCGTTCGTTTTTTTTTTATTGCGTCCGAAATTTTTTTGTTTATTTTTTCCAAATTTGCGCTCGTTCCACGTTTCTGACTAAATTATTTTTCCAAATTTGCGCTCGTTATACGTTTCTGGCTAAACTATTTTTCCAAATTTGCGCTCGTTATAATACGTTTCTGGCTGAATTATTTTTCCAAATTTGTGCTCGTTCAACGTTTCTGACTAAATTATTTTTCCAAATTTGCGCTCGTTCTACGTTTCTGGCTAAACTATTTTTCCAAATTTGCTCTCGTTATGTTTGTGTATGCGTCCCAGTTTATAGGTAATGAAATATCGATCCTTTTTGTATTTCATTATGTATTGAGTGAGTTTATTATTACCAACGTTCAGAAGCATATGATTGCAAATGATAATCGAGAGTAATAATTATCAAAGCCTCTACAGAACAACTCCACTCTCATCTTCTCGTGATAGATCCTGTTAAGTCGATATTCCATTGACAAACTAAGAGAGCTAGGGGGAAGTATCAAAATCATTTGTTTTTATAGAATATGGCTAAACAACACCGTTGTTGGGACGGGGAATTGTCGTTATTCTGGCAGCTATTTAACAGAAAAGAGATCCGAGTTACCGTGGAGGAGGCCAATGGTGACCTTTTCACTCACTTGGCGAAAGACAAGTACGTCATGGCCCATTGCATTTCCCTTGACTTCAAAATGTCAAAGGGGATAGCATTAACAGTGCGGTAAGTAAGTGACAACCGTTAAATTTTATTTTTATTTTTTTTTAAATTCTTGCGAAACAGTTAGGCGAGTACCTAATTAATTTTTTTTTGAAATCTTTCCAGACAACGGTTTGGTGCTCCACCAAACTATCTGATGACAGGAGCAAGAGTGGGGTCCTGTCAGGTGCAATTCATCGAGGGAGAGCCAAAAACCCTCCATTTAATTACAAAAAAGGCTTTTTGGCATAAGCCAAAATATTTTTGTGTCTGGAAGGCATCGACAGATATGCGAAGGAAAGTTGTACGCTATGGGATAACGAAATCGGTAATGCCAAAAGTAGCCTGCGGGTTGGAACGCAAGAACTATCACATCATCCGCTGCATGGTTTCCTTCGTGTTCCGCCAATGCAATCTAGATATACTGATATGCAGTAATTAAATGTTCCTTCTCCTTTTCCCTTTTCTATCAATAATTCATATCTTTCTGCTCTCTTCTTAATGCGTTGGTGTTCTAATGCGAACCAGACCTATTTCTTCTTTTAAATTCTGATACACACGTTTTAATTGACCTCATGTCTACACCAACACATTCTTCTCCTACTCTATTCAAGAATATTACTTTGCTATCACTTCATTTTGTTCCAACCCAACGGTCGAAAAGGTTCGCATGTGGTCTAAGGTTGTGTATGCGTCTCTTTTTATTTACAAGAGGTTTATTAATATTTAAAATTACTTACTTAATTAGCAACCTTTAAATTTTTTTATGGTAATGGCATAAAGTTAATTATTTACGTCTAGAGATAATATTCTTGTCATAACGACACCTAATATTTGTGTAATTCCTTCAATGTTGTTTCATATCATCATATCATCTTTATGTCATGAATATCAATGACAAAAAATCAAGAAAGAAATCGTTAAACAAATCACACAACATTGAAAAAT